ATATGAAAAGCTCTGGAATCGTTGGTTCCTAATGCTAGCTTATCACATCATCTCAAATACTGGGGGAAATGGCACTAATAAAGAGCTGAGAAACAAGACAAATCAATGAAATGAGTTTTCTTTTTTTTTTTTTTTAAGATTTTATTTATTTATTTGAGCAGGGGGACAGGGACAGGGAAAAAGAATCTCAAGCAGACTCAGCACCAAGCATGGAGCCCAATGCAGGTCTCTTTCTCAACCCCAAGACCATGATCCCAGCCCAAATCAAGAGCCCCTGGCTCAACCAACTGAGCCACCCAGATGCCCCAGAAATGAATTTTCTGATGGGATGAATGAGAGGAGAGTAATTTTTGAAAGGGGTTAACATACAGAACACGGGCAGAGAATTTTAAGACTGGAACTTCAGAAACCACTTATATACCTCAGCCTTCAGTGGTCTATCTGAAGAGTTATCTCCAGAGCTTCACAGTATTAGGAAATGCAAAGTATAAGCTCAGAGGTTATACTTTGGGGCAGCTTGAAATGTCCTGGGAAGTGAAACTTGCAAGTTTAACCATTTGAAATACCAGAACTATTTGTTTCAGATAGATTGATTGATTGATTGATTGATTGATTGATTTGAGAGAGAGCATGTGCGTGCATGCGCATGAGTAGAAGAAGGGGCAGAGGGAGAGAATATCCAAGCAGGCTCCATCCCACCAGCCATGAGATCGGAACCTGAGCTGAGACAAAAAATGGGACACTTAATCATCTCAGCTACCCAGGTGCCCTGAAGTACCAAAACTTTTAAATGTTAACCATTTTTATGACAATTTCTATGAAATCTCATTAACTTTTTCTTGATGACTCTGGGGGTTTTTTTTCTATTTCTATGTATATATATATATTTTTTTTTTTTCTTGGCTCAACTCAGGTTTTTTTTTTCTTTAAAAAATTTTTTTTTTCTTGATGGCTCAGGATTTTTTCTTTTTAATTGTTTTTTGTTGTTGTTTGTTTTTTGTTTTTTCACTGAGCAACATCAGATAGCCTGCTCTGTTCTTGATTAGCTTCTTATCCCAGGTGATTTGGGACTTTAGGATGTTATCACAAGTTGCCACCAAGGAGAAATCCCTACTATATTAACTGATGTGAGTACTGTATGTACTTACATATATGTATATTTTTTTTTCTTCTGTGAAGAGAGTGAATACTAATATAGGTCCACAGTCCCTTGTTTAAACCCTTGAATCCTGCTAAGTGTCTAAATTGAGATATTTTTACATTTTAGCAAGGTACATAAGCATGTCCAGTATACACCATGAACACCCCCAGGGGTTTGTTCAACACATGATTATTTCTGCCCCCACACATATGAATGCTTACACTAAATGGGATAAAGACTAGACATAAATAGCCCAGTGTCAGGTTAGGCCAGGTTTTGCTGCCAAACAAGTTTCAACATCATATAAAGACCTTGATTTTCAAAGGTTTTAACATTTTAGAATTGTAGAGAAGAAATTATAAACCCATAGGTAACACTGAAGATTTACCATGTGCCAAGTACTGTGCTAAATTCTTTATGTATTATCTCAATAAATCCTCCCGGTAGGTAGATACTTCTGGTACTCCTGTTTACCAATGGGGAAAACCAATGCACAGGGGAGTTAAGTAACTTACCCGTGGTCGCACAGCTAATTAGTAGAGCTAGGATATAAAGCAGAGTTAACATTCACCAAACACTTGTTACATATTCGCATTACTCTAAGCACTCCCTCATTTGATCTGCAACCATTCCATTAAGATAGTCACTGCTATTATTCTCCATTTAACAGGTAAGAGGCAACAGGGAGATTTATATAACATGTTCAGTCTGATGGTGTGGTTTCAGAGCATGTGTGCTCAGCCAGTACCACATTCTATGAGTTTATAGCAATGAAACAACTGGCTTTAGGTTCAACAAGATGAGTTACCACACCGAAGGCTAGTGGGTTTCCTCACACGTCAGCAGCATCATTATACTCCTTAAACCATGATATTTTCACTGCAGGTTTTATCATTTCTTTATATGGAATCAGTTACTACATTTGCCTCCACATCTGCTGGCAACTACCCCTCTATCTCATTGCCCTGCCTTACTTATTACAAGTATAAATGAGCACTTACTGTCATGACCTAAAGCATGTCCTAGCACGTTCAGGAGAAGTCACTCGTAAAGCCTCCCCCTTCCTTCTCCCTTTCCCTCCTCCTCCCTCCCCTCCTCCTCCCCCCCCCCCCCACCCCAGGTAGGCAAATGCTCCCCTTGACTCCGCACCCAGAGTAGACTCTTAGGCACAGCCAACATTAAAAATCACATCTCTGGGGATCCCCGGGTGGTTCAGCGGTTTAGCGCCTGCCTTTGGCCCAGGGCGCGATCCTGGAGTCCCAGGATCGAGTCCTGCGTCAGGCTCCCGACATGGAGCCTGCTTCTCCCTCCTCCTGTGTCTCTGCCTCTCTCTCTCTCTGTCTGTCTATCATGAATAAATAAATAAATAAATCTTTTTAAAAAATCACATCTCTGATGTTAAAAAGAGATGTAAAGGACAGTTTCCTTGTGGCTTGATTCTAGAAAGTCCTCTCACTATCTGAACATCTCTTTTGGTGGCCTGTGGAGTCAGTGGCTCACACCCACCGCTAGAAGCTAGCAACCATCCCCTCCAGCAGGGTCCCCACTCTCAGCAGGAACCCCTGTGTCTCTAGCAGAAGAGCTTCATTCATCTCTACGAGCATATGGGGGTAAAGATGATCTTACGTGGAAGATAGCAAAATAGAGCAGAATTCATCAGGAGTTACCAAAGGGTTTGTTTTGACTATTGTCCCATCGGGCCATCCTCGCCTTTCCTCGTTTGTCTGATCCAGAGAAGAACTGACCAGGTTTACCAGCACTGAGCTGGCCCCCTCCAAGGAAAGTAGTTAGCCCAGGGTTCTTCTGGAGCTGGCTGTACGCAGCCTCCCACAGCCAGGACACACGTGTGGTCCATTTCCTTGTACTCTGTACTCTGGTCCTGCTCGTGCACTAAGCACTGGGCCACAGGTGGCGGGGGGGGGGGGCACTCTCAGCTTCTTACACTCTGCACTGAGGGGCATTCTTCTCCTGCACACCAGCTGAATGGTGCTCTTTGGTGACATCTATGTGAGGTACTCCTCTGAATCTTTGCTGAATTTGCAGGGGTTCGAGTTTCTTCACCAAAGTGGTGCCTGAAGTCCTGAGAGCCTCTGACACCACTGATGTCCCCGCAGGTGGCCCTGCCTTAGGACTGACTGCTGACATAGCAGAATACTGGTTGCTGTGCCTTTTCCAGCTCAGTGAAGCCCCACAGGGCTCCAGGCAGCTACGTGGTGTTGTATCCCCGTCCCCCGGTACTTCAGGTCTAGATTTTCTGTACTCTTAAGATGTCACTGCCTTTTTTCTTCGCTCCTCATCTCATTCACTGTGGCTTCAAAACTCTAGCCGCAAAGAAAAATAAAACAAAATCTCTGGTGTTGCTTCCACCTCTAAGTATTCCCACTGGCCCTACTACACTCACCTTTCTCTCTACATTCCTTTTTCTCCTTGTTCTAGTTCTTTCCTTTGTCAACTCTCCTGGCCTGAGCATTAAGCATACACTGCATATGGAGTGCCTACACCACCTTCGATTCTCAGATATTTTCTCCATCCGTGTAGGCTCAAGAGCTGCTTATTGACTGCAGGAGACATTTTCTTTTATTTTTTCTCCACCTTTATCTTCTAGATTCAATGCCATTCTAGTTGCTTGATCTGCTCTGACCTCCCTGTAATAAGTGGCACTAGGCTTATGTCTGCTCATGTTTCACTTATCGAGTACTAGACTATAAAATCAATCCAGTGGGGTGCTGGTGGGTTGATTTGGAAGTATTGTGTGGGATTCTCTTTTTTATCAAAGTTTGATCTGAAGATAGAGATTATAGAATCCTACATTCATTTTTACTTAATGCCAGCCACTCTGAGTAACATGATTTTGGGGACCAGCATCCTCCTAAAATAGCCCATCATGGGACAGACAGCTGAAAGCCAAGAAAAACATGCAGGTTCTCACCTGCATGGGGTTTTCTTACCCAAAACAAAAACTTTAGTGTAATTGAAAAAGAAAACAAATGTATGCTTAGGTATATACCTAAGCGTTAGTTATATCCTGTCTCTTGGGTGAACTTGAATACCCAGCTGATTTAATATACAGTGCGCAGAAACTGACCCAGAGGGTGAACCTGGGTGGAGTGCTCCCCAACCAAACACAGACTAGAGTCCTGAGACGGAAGTGTAAGAGAGTCTTTCAAAGGAAAAATGTGTTGGGATGCCTGGGTGTGACTGCGGTTAAAGCATCTGCCTTCAGCTCGGGGGATGATCCTGGAGTCCCACATCGGGCTCCATGCATGGAGCCTGCTTCTCCCTCTGCCTATGTCTCTGTCTCTGTCTCTCTCTCTCTTTAAAAAAAATAAAGGGAAAATGTGATTATTGCATTTTTATGGATTCTTTGGATAATGTTTATTTCTAGAGGAGAGCATTTAGCTCCAGTAGTCAAGATATAGCAAAATAATTTTTTTTTCCTTAGAGAGGGACTCAACTTTTTACTCTCTGGTAAGTAAAAACAAGCCATGATCAGTTTGGCTCAAAGTGCAGATGATAGCCAAACCAGGCATTTATTATTCAAGCAGAAAACATAAGCAATTCCCATCTTCCAGGTTCTAGCCAATACCTGCACATGTACAGCAAGCAGTAGAAGAGTTAGCCCAAAAAGGAAGGGGGTGAAGTATTCAGAGAGGCCCAGTCTGCAGTCTGCAATTCCAAGTGTTTTGCTTTTTTCCCCCCTTGTACTCAGAGTTTACACTAGGTGGCATGCAAGGAAAGCCGAACACATTTGGAAACTTGATTCTGTGCACACCCAATTCTTCTGGCACAAACCCTGACCAGTGGGTGCAACTTCAGAGCCAGCGATCTCGTTTGAGATTGTTCTTTTTCTCCTCCCCAGGATGAAGTGTCCTCTCGCTGGCACAAATAAAAGATTCCTAATTAACACAATTAAGAACACGCTGCCCTCCCATAAAGAGCAAGACCCTGAGCAAAAGGAGGGCAGCAAGGAAGCCACGAAAAGCCAGGGCCAGAAAGAAGAAAAGCGGAAGAAGCACAGAGGTCACCCCTACAAGCACAGCTTCCAGGCCCGGGCCCCCGAGGGCCACTCTCCGCACCGGAAGCCCAGTGGCCGGGACAAGTCGGGGAAGCGCTCCAACAGGCGATGAGGAGGACGGGCAGGAGCCACCTGCGCTGATCCGTCTGGGACAGGGGGTGTGCCCACGAGGATTTGAGGACAGGCCTGCAGCCAGAGAGCAGACACCTAGGAGTGAGTGACTTTTACAGTCAGTCCTTAGTTGCTATGACAAGGAAATGAGTGCAAAGGGACTTGCTCTGCAGGTGTCCAGGCAAGTTCCAGCTTTTCTGGCGGTGGCCTCCCATAGCGTGTCATGTTTTCATTCTCTGTTGTTTGGAAGTTGGTTTCAAAATAAATCTAAAACTTAAGTTTTCAGAGGTTGTAATGACTAATTCCAGTTTTTTCGACGTGTTAACGATTGTGGTCCTCAGATTTTCTCAGAAAATGAAACACTTGTAAATCCTCTATGTTATCTTTTTGGAAGATGAATTTAAAATTCAAAAGTCATCTGGCCAGTAACCACAGTCAGGAAAAGATGTAGCCCTTCAAGGGCTAGAAATTTACCATGAAACTCTTTGATAGGTTTGTTTTCCTCTAAGGGAGCCATGTAGAAAATTCTCAAGATGGCTTTGAATTCAGTGTTCCATATCAATAACCAGAGGCTAAATAATTGGCTCTGTTGTTTCCTTGTGCATTCTCAAACTCATTCCTGACATAGAACAACTTTCTATATTTAATTTTTTGGGAATATATAAGTTTTAAGTGGTGCTTTTAAAGGAACCCTCAAAAGTTAAAACTAACATAATTACTTTAGTTCTATGTCTTATTTAGCTGCAGACCTATAATACCACTCTTAGTATAGTTGTTTCAGAAATCTTAATTTTAAATTAAAGTGTGTTTACAAGACCGTTTTCTGTCGTTTTTTTTTTTTTCAATATCGATGTATCTCCATTTTAATGTATAATTACAAACCTTTCAAACCAGTATTCTTCCTTTCATACTCAGGAAAATGTCACCAAGTACCCTCTTCCCTGGTCCACAAAAGGAAGAAGAATCTCTGTCCCCCCCACCACCATCCCCAGTTTTCCAAAGCATCTAAGCTTATGCCTGGCTGCTCCCAAATAATCACTCGCCACAGCCTGCTCCCTGCTTCCTGGCAGCCAAGAAAAGCCCTTTCTTAATGTTTAGAAAGGAGCACATCCGAAAAGTTAGCTTCGGGGTGTTTATAGAGAAACTGTAATAGACCAAACACTGGCTTTGACCATCAGGCCGCTGGCCACACCCTTGGTCTGCTCAGAGCTAAAAGCTCAGGAGTGAAGCCCAGGCATTCTCACTAGACCACCATCCCGAAGACCCCAGGGCCCCTGTGACTTCATAATGACATAGCAAGACACTACAAAAGGAATAGTTTGGCTCATATGACTTTATCCAAATCCATTTATGCATTAGCTTACACTGTTTGTGCTAAATTGGGAACATTTTGTATTTAAATACTAGAAATAGAGTCCTGAGTTTTTGAAAATTCTTGTTATAATAAAGTAAAATAAAGTTGGATTGTATCAATTGTCTATGTTCTTTGTGTTTAGAGCAAACTGCCAAATTCGTTATTCTTTAAAAGAAAATTACTTTTTTTTTAAGATTTTTATTTATTTATTCATGAGAGACACAGAGAGATGCAGAGACACAGGTAGAGGGAGAAGCAGGCTCCATGCAGGGAGCCCAATGTGGGACTCCAGGACCACGACCTGGGCCGAAGGCAGATGCCCAACTGCTGTGACACCCAAGTGTCCCAAAAGAAAATTATTATAATGAGCACATTCTAATACTTGCAGGAAGTCTCTGTACCTCCTTACACTTAACCTTTCTTATTTAATTGTGTTAAAGGACGAAGCAGTGTTCTACAGAATCACTCTCTCCTTAAAAAGGAATTGTTCCTGGGAAGCTTGGGTGGCTCAGCGGTTGAGCTCAAGTCTGCCTTTGGCTCAGGACATGATCCCAGGATCCAGGATCAAGTCCCACATCGGGCTCCCTGCATGGAGCCTGCTTCTCTCTCTGCCTGTGTCTCTCCCTTTCTCCCTGTGTGTCTCTCATGAATAAATAAATAAATATTAAAAATAATTTTTCCATTCCTAAAAACTTGATTTAGAATCTTTAAAATTTTGATCAAGAGCAGCCGTGTCTTCCTGTATATAAATGTCAAGAGCAGATTATCCATTTTGTAAGTCAATCAGAGAAGGACAAACATTATATGGTCTCATTCATTTGGAGAATATAAAAAATAGTGAAAGGGAATAAAGGGGAAAGGAGAAAAAATGAGTGGGAAATATCAGAAAGGGAGACAGAACATGAGAGACTCCTAACTCAGGGAAACGAACAAGGGGTGGTGGAAAGGGAGGTGGGTGGGAGGTGGAGGTGACTGGGTGACGGGCACTGAGGGGGGCACTTGATGGGATGAGCACTGGGTATTATGCTATGTGTTGGCAAATTGAACTCCAATTAAAAAAAATATATGTAAAAACAAAACAACAAAAAAAAAGATTATCCATTTTGATTCTCCATCTATACAGTACATGTTGGAGGAGGTGATTAGTCCTGAGATCTCACATGCACCTGCCACTTGCTTCTGCACTTAGCGAGCAGGCCCCTCCAAGAGCTTCCTCAGTCTCCTCCTCCTGGCTGCTCTCCAATATAAATGTCTGTGGAGCTCCCACAGCCCAGCAAGGTGTTGGAGAAGTTGAATGGGAGCCCACCTCTGCCGTTGGCGGGCTCCGGGGCTCCCTGCCTGGTGGCTCCTCTGGATGCATCTTCCCCATCCAGGAACCAAACTCTTTGGATTGAGTCTCTAGCCAGTAGAGATGGAGTTACCGATGCTCAGCCCTCAGTTTTAGGAACTGCTCTTCAGGCTTCCTTTAGAAAGCTCTAAGACTTGAGCACAAGTGTGACTCAGCAGAACTCATTTTCCTGGGGCAGCCCAGGGGGCTCAGCGGTTTAGCGCCATCTTTAGCCCAGGGTGTGATCCTGGAGACCCGGGATCAAGTCCCACGTCCGGCTCCCTGCATGGAGCCTGCTTCTCCCTCTGCCTGTGTCTCTACCTCTCTCTCTCTCTCTCTCTCTCTCTCTCTCTCTCTCATGAATAAATAAAATCTTTAAAAGAAAAAACTCATTTTCCATTTTACCTCTTTTCAGAAAGCATAGTCTCTGAGAAATGTAAGCCAAAAGCAATGGCCTCCACCCTCAGCCAGTGACCTTTTAGTGTTATGTTAGTCTTTGCAAATGGCCCACAGGTCATGGGGAAGGGACCGAGCAGCTGGTTTTACTTAGAGTAGGCTGAGCACTGAAGGACACTTCCTCAAATCTAATTCTGGAAGGTGGCTGTGGAGCTTTGAATTTGCCTTTTTTTTCTTCCCACCCCCCACCTCCCAGGGCGGGGTTGGGGTGGGGGGATAGGGGTGGAAGAGGTGGTACAGGTCTGCCTCAAATTTACTGGTACTATTAATCATTCCTTCATGGATTATCAATGTGACTTAGCATGGCACTCACATTTTTTATATTTACATAATCCCTGTCCCTCTTAGAGGTCATGCCATTGTCTTTGAATCATGAAGAGTATCTGGCCCACAATCAGTGCTTGCTTAATAAACATTATGTGAGGTGAATTCCTGATGAAGTGAAGCCTCACACTCCCTTAAAGAGTGTTAAACTTGTAAGTATTCTCACCAGGAGGGATGAGTTGGCTATACTAAAACTGTGGACAATAACACTTACGATGTATCATCAATGGGCCAAACACGTTAGGCCTTTTTTCCTCCTCAGCTTTATTGAGATACAGTTAACATATAACACCGTGTTAGTTTAAGATGTAAAATGTGGTGATTTGATGTAAGTATATATTGTGAAATGATTACAGTAAGGTTAACACATCTCAGTTACCATTTTTGTGAGTAGTGAGAATATTTAAGATAGGCCTTCACCTATGTCCATATAGTCATCTCAACCCTATGAAGAAGGCAGTATTATGCCCATTATATAAATAAGGAAACAGGACTGGGTAAACAGTTTGCCCAAGGTCACAGCGATGGGTAGTGGCAGGAATGCTGTCTGAAGCTGTCTGAATCTACAAACCTATATTCTTTCCAGAACTTTGTGCCAACCTGGATCCAAACTCAACTCCCTCAAAACACAGGACCAGAGGGCACCTGGGTTGGCTCAGGTCATGATCGCAGGGTCCTGGAATCAAGTCCCACATCAGGCTCCCCGCAGGGAGCCTGCTTCTCCCTCTGCCTATGTTGCTGCCTCTCTCTGTGTCTCTCATGAATAAATAAATAAAATCTTAAAAAAAAAAAAAGGAGAGAGAAGAAGAAGAAGAAGAAGAAGAGAAGAAGAAGAGAAGAAGAAAGGAAAGAAGAAAGAAGAAGAAAACACACAGGACAAGAATATCTAGTGTATAATGAGCCAAGGATTTCCAAGTTAAGAGGCTAAAGAACTTGTGTAACTAATGCATTTTATTGGTTACCGTGTACTTCTGGAGACCTGACTAGGCAAGCCCCACCCAAGGAACAGGGCCAGGAGCAGTGTTTCCCCTGAGCCAGCTTAGCCATCCAAATCCAGGAGGAAAGCTCTTAACAGTTCTCTGGTTGAATGGCAGCTGCTGGAATATCTAAGGGAATTTAAACTCCCACTTGAAGCAAAGATTTTCATATTCAGCCTCTGCTTTTTTCCATCCACAAGAATAGAAGGTTTTGGAGTTAAGAAATCCTAGCATTAGGACCTCTCTGGTACATTAAATAACATCATCCTGTGACCCACAAAGAGCATGCTGCCCCCCACCTCAACCCCCTTCGAAAGGTGGGTCAACTGGTGCTGGGATAAGCCCTTCCCTCATCCGATGCACAATAGTGAGAAGCCAGGCGACGAACATCCTCAGGTTTGAAAAGACTGCTAAGAAGTGTGCACTCATACCCACGCGAACACATGAAGAAGTAAGTAAAGTAGTTAATCCGCATTAAACTGCCAATACAACATAGTAAGCAGAATTCCGAGGAATTTTATAAATAAATAATTTCGACCTGCATTACCATGCTATAAATCTCAGTAGAAGGCCCTGGGCATTATCATGAAATGACCAACAATAAACAGATTTGGGAGCATCATTAATAGTTGAGCTATTCTCCCATCTAGCTAGCCCTGTAACTTGCACCTTTACTCTTCCTGACTTATGAAAACTCCCTATGTGCAACATGAACTCCAAATATAACATCCTGATGAAATACCTGAGAGACATTTATCTCCACCAGGTAGGTGTATAGCGCGCCCTCCATGGTTGTCCACCATCCTTCCTAAATGGTTCTTTCTCATTAATTCCTCAGGTTTAGTTC